CCCCTCTCTCCCCCTCTCCCTCCCTGTGTGTGTGTGTGTGTCATTCTAAGTACTGACAGTGTTTTTCTTCATGATGTCGTGCGCGTATTTGTAGAAGGGCACCGATGGTCCGATGGGGGGCGGGTCGAAGCGCGAGGGCTCGCTGGGGTAGTCGAGGAGCTGCTCCATCCGCATATACACGGGGTCGTTCTTGCCCAGCGGATGCTCCTTGTCCTGACCACCGCCACCACCCTCCCCCGCACCCTCCCCCCTCTGCTGCTGCTGCTGGTCGCCGTCTCCGTTTTCTCTGTGGTTGCCGTCGTTGTCGTGTGGTCTGTCCTGCTCCTCGTCGCAGTCGAATGCGGGTCGCTTCTTGCGGCAGATGAGTAGGAGGTGGTTGAAGTAGTCGAGCATGGCGCTCCAGTGCACGTCGGGGCACCTGCCCACCTCCACACCGTCCTCACTGTGCAGACCTGACCGATAAATCAACACCACAGACGCCTCAGGTGTGTGTGTGGTTGCTTGGCGAGCAGGTATGTGTGTGGTGTGCGTGTTGGGTACGGAATTGGCCGTCGATCTCGTCCGCACTCATGACGGCAGCTGACATGACATCAGTCAATCGCAAATGGTGGATAGCCATCGGGTCGTCGTGTGTGTGTCTTGTGCTGTAGGTAGCCAGCTGACCGAAGTTGACGAGTGTTCCGAATGCGCACTGCCGCACGACCGGGTGCGGGTCGTATCGCAGCAGATCGGCACACAGCCCGTACAAGACCGGGCCGTACTGACACAACAACGACTGACCCAACCACACACACACACACACACACACACACACAGAGAGAGAGAGAGAGAGAAGAGAACATGTGATTGCGATGGATGGATGGATGGACTGGCTGGGTGTTGTGTTGGTGTGTGGCTGACCTCCAGCTCTTGCACTCTGTCAGGGTCTGGTCCCACTCTGCGCTCCTTCTTCTTGGGCTCCCCTGCTGCCGCCTTGCGGCCGCCACGCGCACGCCGCTTGCCACGGCCCTTGCCGCCCTGGCCCTCGCCCTCGCCCTCACCCTCACCCTCTGCTGCCGCAGCCTCCTCATCCTGGTTGCCATTCTCCTGGGCGGCCGCATCGCCCTGCTGCTGCTGTTGCTGCTGCTGCTGTTCTTGTTCTTCCTCCTCTTGCTGCTGCTCGTCCTCATCGTCGAGCCAGGTGAAGTACTCGTCAATCTGACGTACACACACACAGACAGACTGATGGATGGATGTGTGGGGTGAGGTCTGGGTGTGTGCCTCACTCACCGCGTGCAAAAGGAGCATGAAGTAGATGTCCAACGCATACAGAACGATACGGGCACCTGCATACACACAGACGTGATATACATCCACACGTGCAGCATCTCTCTCTCTCTCCTTCTCTCTCTCTGTGTGTGTGTGTGTATGCATACCGGGTCCCTCTCCGTTGGCGATGCGTTTGCAGCTCTTGTCCCGCTGGTCGGGGTCCTCCTCCTCCTCTCCCTCGCCCCTGTTGCTGTTGGCCTCGATCCGCGCCGTCACAGCGCTCGCCAGCACAGCCAACAACTCACCCGTCACGCCAGCAGGACGATGCTGGACCAAGGCAGGAAGGAATCACCCACACAGCCCACAGGTGTGTGAGTGGTCGTGCTGGTGGGTGTGGGTGTGACTTTGTGACTCTGTGACGGACCTTCATGAGGGCATGGACGCGCCGCAGCGAGTGCAGGGCCTCCGACACTGCATAGACACCAACGAGAGTGTGCATGCCTCCCCGTGTGAGTGTGTGTGTGTGTGTGTGAGGTTCTTCTGTCTCTATCTCTATCTTACGGGTTCTTCCTTCTTGGTCCGATCCGACAGCGGGCTGCGACGGCTGCGACTGGCTCTCCTTCATCTTGAGGTACTTGCCCAGGTGGCGCATGCAGTTCTTCACGGCTGTCTGACACAGAGACTGACACACACACACGCACACACAAGATGGAGATCTTTCTGTGTACTGCGATTGGTCCGTGTGTGTATAAGATGAGAGTGAGAGTGTGTGTACCTCTAGCGTTCTGGTGACGTCCTTGTGGTGTGGCGCGAGGGCCTCCTCGAGGTTCTCCAGCGCACCCACAGACATCTCCAACGACTGCACGATACGCAAACGAAAACACGTGTATCCATCCATCCATCGATCCATCGATGTGTGTGTGTGTGTTTGCGTCTGCTTTGCTCACCATAGGGTCATTTTGGTTGGTGAATATCTCGGAGAGGGCCTTGATGGGCTCTGCCAGGGACAGCTGCGATCGGTTGTCGCCAGCATACTGAC